TTGAGGGACAGCTGTTGATTTCAACTTTATTTTTGTGTGCTAAAGGTGTATTTGGGGCTGTTGTCCAATGGCCAAAAAACCAGTTTGCTCTGTTATGTTGATTTTTTTAAAACTGAGCTCAGTTTTTTAATCTGAATTACGCCCCATTGATTTTTAAAGGGCCTCGTTGTTATGTACGGGGGTTGTCCCAAGCTGAGCTCATACGTGTAATTTTAGCTTTCCTTTTGGCCCCTCGGGCTTCCTGGTTATGCTTTTGTAGAAAAGTGTGGCCTGCAAAATTGGCTGCAGATGCTCTCAGCTGAAAACAAACCTGGCTGGAATGAATTAGTAACGGAGGGCTGGAGGGTGGATAGAGAGAGGCCCAGATGCGAAGAACAAAATGTAAGCTTTTGATAGCGAAAGAAAGGAGGTGGGTGGTGGTGGTGGCTGGATTTCAGCTTTCTCAAATTTCATTTCATTACATCCTTCTGTATTGCCTGCCTTCCTTTCCTCCCTTACCTCCATTCCTCCCTTTCCTCCTTCCTCCCTCCTCTTTCCTTCTATCTTCCCCTTCCTCCTTCCCTTCCTGCCTCCCCCTTTCTTTCTTTCCTTCCTTCCTTCCTTTTTTCTTCCCTCCCTCCCTCCCTCTTCCCCTCTCCTTCCTTCCTTCCTCCTCCCTTCCCCCCTCCCCCCTTCCCCTTCCTCTTTCTTTTCCTCACTCCCTCCTTCCCCTTCCTCCCTCCCTCCTTCCTCTTCCTCTTTCCTTTCCTCCTTTCCTTCCTCCCTCCCTCCTCTTTCCTTCTATCTCCCCTTCCTGCCTTCCCCTTTCTTTCTTTCCTTCCTTCCTTCCTTCTTCCCTCCCTCCCTCCCTCTTCCCCTCTCCTTCCTTCCTTCCTTCTTAAGTCCCTCCCTCCCTCCTCCCCTCTCCTCCCTCCCTCCCTCCCCCTTAGTTAGAAAGAACCCCCAGAGTTAGCACTCTGAAGGTTTAAATTTAAGTCCAATTTGTTGGAAGTGCAAACAGGCACAGGGTACTTTCTTCCATGTCTGGTGGCTTTGCCCAAAAATTAGGAAATATTGGGAAAAAATAAGAATTTGGCTAATAGAAATAACATTGGAAAAAATAGAACTCAAACCAGAGATTTTTTTATTAGGGATGATTAAAGAAAACTGTAGGAAAGAAATAAAGTATTTAATATTACACATAGTCACTGCAGCCAGATTGGCGCTCGCCCAATATTGGAAAACTGATCAACTGCCAACAGATCAATTGATAATCCAAAAACTCTATAACTGTTCGGCGGTTCGAATCCCTAGTGCCGCGTAAACGGAGTGAGCTCCCGTGACTTGTCCCAGCTTCTGCCAACCTAGCAGTTCGAAAGCACCTTTGGGGCCACCTTTGGTGGGAAGGTAACTGCGTTCCGTGCGCCTTTGGCGTTGAGTCATGCCGGCCACATGACCACGGAGGGGGTCTTCGGACAGCGCTGGCTCTTCGGCTTTGAAACGGAGATGAGCACTGCCCCCTAGAGTCGGGAACGACTAGCATATATGTGCAAGAGGAACCTTTATCTTTAGTTTAATGAAAAGAAGGACCAGGGGTGACATGATAGCAGTCTTCGGATATCTCAGGGGTTGCCCCAAAGAAGAGGGAGTCAAACTATTCTCCAATGTCCTGCCCTTGAAGGCAGGACAAGAAGCAACAGATGGAAACTAATCAATGGAAATTAAGGAGAGAACCAACTTAAGCAATAAGGAGAAATTTCCTGATGATTATAACAATTAATCAGTGGAACGACTTGCCTCCAGAAGTTGTGAATGCTCCAACACCGGAAGTTTTTAAGAAGAGATTGGATAACCATTTGTCTGAAATAATTTAGGCTTTGGACTAGAAGAGGTGTCAGCTTTGGAAGCCATATTAACACCAGAAGCTTCCACGCTGCCACTTTCTTGCGCTTGGGAAAGTAGGAGGGGGGGATGTAGTAGGGAGATTGTAGTTAGACATAATAGCATTCTTCTTTTCGGTCAAGGTCAGGGTGTTCCTGCATCTGGAGGAGGAGTGGTTGAAGTGGGGCCTCAAGTTGGGACGGAGGGTGATTGGGCCATGCGATGGGCCGATGGGTGCAGGGGTTGGATTTGGCGGTTTTGATTTACTGAGGGAAAACCCAGAATTCTCAGATTCGGCTTTTCCCAGATACGCCAGTATACCTACTCTAATAAATGGAAGATTTGAGATGATGCCTGTCTCGGGAGTTTTTGATTGGAGTTGGGTTGTTCTGGAACGCTGAGAAGGGGTTGAACTAGAAGAGCCGAGGTGGCGCAGTGGTTAGAGGGCAGTACGGCAGCTACTTCAGCTGACTGCTAGTTCAACAGATCAGCGGATCAAATCTCACCGGCTCAAGGTTGACTCAGCCTTCCATCCTTCCGAGGTGGGTAAAATGAGGACCCAGATTGTTGGGGGCCAATATGCTATTTAGTATACTGTCAATTGTTGTAAGCTGCCCAGAGTCCTCGGAGAGTGGGCGGCATAGAAATATGAATAATAAAATAAATAATAATAATAAAAGACCTCCAAGGTCCCTTCCAACTATTATTCTGTTATTCGAATGACTCTCAAAAGAGCTAACCACTGACCTTCAGAGTGCTAACGACCAGATAACTGCAAAAAATAAAAATCCTTCTACTCCTCACCAGTCGATTAGAACTGAAGAAGCTTCTTGGATGAGAAGCTAAAAGTTTTCAAGGAAAAAAACCAAGAAGCTCAACCTTATTCTCCAAAGCACCTGGAGGCTAAACAAGAAGCAATGGGTGGAAACTAATCAAGGAGAGAAGCAACCTAGAACTAAGGAGAAATTTTCCTGACAGTGTGAACAATTAATCAGTGGAACAACTTGCCACCAGAAGTTGTGGGTGCTCCAACACTGGAGGCTTTTAAGAGGAGATTGGATAACCATTTTTCTGAAACGGTATAGAGCCGTGATGGCGAACCTATGACTTGTACGCAGAGCCATATTGGTGGGCACACGAGCATTGCCCTAGTTCAGCTCTGGTGCTGATTTTCAGGCCTTCCAGGCCCACTGGAAGTCAGGAAACAGGTTGTTTGTGGCTACCAGAGGGCCTCCGGGGGGGGGGGGAGGCCCATTTTTTGCTCTCCCCGGGCTCCAGAGGCTTTCTAGGAGCCTGGGAAGGGTAAAAACAGGCACCCCTTCCGGAGGCCGAAAACAGCCCGTTTCCTGACTTCCGGTGGACCAGAAGGCCTGTTTTTCACTGTCCCCAGGCTCCAGAGCCTTTCTAGGGTCTGGAAGTCAGGAAACGGGCTGTTTCCAGCCTCCGGAGGGTCTCCGGAGGAGTGGGGAAGGCTGTTTTCGCCCTCCCCAGGCTCCAAGAAAGCCTCTGGAGCCTGGGGAGGGTGAAAAATGGGCCTACCGGGCCCACCGTGCCATTGTGTGCCGTCATGTGTCAAAAGCGGGGAGAGCATGGGTGCGGTCCCACGCACACGTGTGGCGGGTGGGGTGCATTGAATTATGAGTGTGGGCATGCGCGTATGCGACCCCCCCCACGCTCCCCACGCTTTTGGCAAGGTTTAGCCATCACTGGTATAGAGTTTTCTGCCTAAGCAGGGTTGGACTAGAAGACCTCCAAGTTCCCTTCCAACTCTGTTAAAGAAAAGTAGTGACACAGCTGGAGCATTCCTGGCTTGCAAGCAAACTTGAAAGTGTGAATCTGAGCCTTTTATGCTTAATTCCCCTTTGAAGCTCCTGCAGCTTGATGGGTTTTAATGTGTTCCTGATTGCCCTGGATTTTGTTTTCCTGTTTTCCTGTGTTTCTTGGTCCTAGGTCTTTTGTTTTTCCTGTCCTTGGTGTTTAACCCTCTCAGGAAAAAGGGAGTTTGGAGGGTTTACTTTTAGCCTGATTCCCCTTATCTTAATGGCTCTGCTTAAGTATTTCTGTGGTCAGCTTTTGTTACTTTTGTAACAGCATTTAAGCAGGCTGTTCTGAGTTTTCTTTTCAGCTAATGCTTAATTTTCTTAATTTTCATTTTCATTTTTCATTTTATTAAATTTGTATACCGCCCTACTCCCGAAGGACTCAGGGCGGTGAACAGGCACAAAATAAAACACATAAATACAAAAGTTAAAACATGATTAAAACCCAATTAAATAATTTTTGCCCGAGACAATTTAAAACTCCCAATAATTTAAAACGAATTAAAATTTCAATTTAAAAATTTAAAAGAAGGGGAGAAAATTAGGCCAGGCCGGCCTGCTGGAATAGGAGTGTCTTCAAAGCACGGTGGAAAGTGCGCAGATCCGGGATCCTCCGTATCTCCGGGGGGAGCTCCTTCCAGATAGCAGGCCCTCTCCCTGGGGGCCGCCAGTCGACATTGTTTGGCTGACGGCACCTGGAGGAGCCTCTCTCTATGAGAGCGTACCGGCTGGTGGGAGGCTGTTTGTGGTAGTAGGCGGTCCCGTAAGTAGCCAGGTCCTAAGCCATGGAGCGCTCTAAAGGTGGTAACCAAAACCTTGAAGCGCACCCGGAAGACCACCGGGAGCCAGTGCAGCTCGCGCAGGAGAGGTGTCACATGGGAGTGCCATATTGCTCCCATAACCACCTGTGCGGCCGCACTCTGCGCCAGTTGGAGCCTCCGGGTGCTCCTCAAGGGAAGCCCCATGTAGAGAGCGTTACAATAGTCCAGGCGGGAGGTGACGAGGGCATGAGTGACTGTGTGTAGGGAGTCCCGATCCAGAAAGGGACGCAACTAAAAGAGAAAGGGCTGGCTTGAGTTTCTTGGCAATGTTTTCTGAGGCTTCTGGTGCTGTGAGGTTTTTGGCAGTGTCCTTTTGGGGTGTCATGCCTGATTTTGGGCCGGATTTAAGCACTCTGCGGGCTGGATCTGACCTATGGGCCTTGAGTTTGATACCCCTGTATTAGACTAAGCCGGCTCGCTCGCTCGCTTGCTTGCTTACTTACTTGCTGATTTATGTATTTATTATATAACTTATAATTATTTTCCTCCCCCTTTGCAGCAGAATGGCCGAAGACCATGACTGGACTTCCGAGTACTTCAGGCACGACAGCCAGCGTGGTAATCATCCGTGGTTCAAAGATGTATGTGGCTCACGTCGGCGACTCGGGTGTGGTTCTCGGAGTCCAGGATGACCCGAAGGATGAATATGTCCGAGCCGTGGAAGTGACGCAGGATCACAAACCTGAGCTTCCAAAGGAGAGGCAGCGGATTGAAGGCCTTGGGGGAAGGTAACAGATCTCACACTGGCTTGTTCAAAATGTGGCCTTTTTCTATTTATAAGGTAGTCCTTGACTTACGACCACAATGGAACCCAAATTGGTTATAATGTAGTACTGCAGGCTAATTCTGCTCACAGCCGGGAATTCGATCCTGACCGGCTCAAGGTTGACTCAGCCTCCCATCCTTCCGAGGTCGGCAAAATGAGGACCCAGATTGTTGGGGGAAAGAGGCTGACTCTATAAAAACCGCTTAAAGAGGACTGTAAAGCACTATGAAGCAGTATGTAAGTCTTAAGTGCTATTGCGAAGGAAGGAAGGAAGGAAGGAAGGAAGGAAGGAAGGAAGGAAGGAGAGAAAAGGAAGGAAGCCCTGGTGGCGCAGTGGTTTGAATGAAGTATTGCAAGTTAACTCTGCCCACAGCCAGAAAGTTTGATCCTAACCGGCTCAAGGTCAACTTAGCCTTCCTTCCTTCTGAGGTCGGTGGTGGTAATAATAATAATAATAATAATAATAATAATAATAATAATTATTATTATTATTATTATTATTATTATTATTATTATTTACATCCTCCGACGATACCTTAACAGTTCCTAGGTCCTTGGTTAGGACTCGAGCTGCTGAGCTATTAACCAGCCTCCAAGGCTGTGAATCTCACTAACGATTAACTAATAATAATAATAATAATTATTATTTTATTTCTATACCGCCCTTCTCCTGAAGGACTCAGGGCGGTGTACAGCCTATTAAAAGCACAAAGACAGACATCGATTAAAAATAATTAAAATTATTAAATAGTTTCGGCTCAAATTTAAAACCCCCAAAATTTAAAACACCTAATTTAAAATCCTTACATTGATAGCCCGGCTTGGTGGAACAGCAGGGTCTTGAGGGCATAGCGAAATACGCGGAGGTCGGAGATCTTATGCATTTCCGGGGGCAGTTGATTCCACAGGGCAGGGGCTCCCACAGAGAAGGCCCTCCCCCTGGGTGTCGCCAGCCGACATAACTTGGCGGATGGCACCCTGAGGAGACCCTCTCTGTGGGAGCGGACTGGCCGGTGGGAGGCTATTGGTGGCAGAAGTTGGTCTTGAAGGTACCCGGGTTCTATGCCATGGAGCGCATGGTAAAATGAGGACCCAGATTATTGTGGGCAATGGGATGCCTCTGAAAACCAGGGGTGTCAAACTGGCGACAAGTGGGCTGGATATGTCGCGCGCAGGCCACCCCAGCTCCGTGAATGGGGAAAAATGTCGCGAAACTTGACCGCAACGTGACGCCGTGAGTTTGACACCCATGCTGTAAACCACTTAGAGTGGGCTGTAAAGCACTATAAAGTGGTATATAAGTCTACGTGTTGTTGTTATTGTTGTTGTTGTTATTGCTGTTATATTCCTCAGTTAACCAGACCCCGTAGGGCTTTATAGATACCAGCCAGCACCTTTAATTTATTTATTTATTATTAATCAAATTTATTATTAATCATGCATTGTAGAAGTCTTGTTTCATACCCCATGCCTTGAAACTTTTAGTTTCTTTTAAACTTTTCACCCTTCGTTTAATTCCTCCCCCTCCCTTCTGTTCTCTCCGATTGTTTTAGTGTGATCAATAAATCCGGTGTGAATCGGGTGGTTTGGAAACGGCCTCGTTTGAGTCACAACGGTCCAGTCCGACGAAGTACCGTTATCGATCAGATTCCCTTCCTGGCAGTGGCCCGAGCCCTTGGTAAGTAGCCTCTGAGAACCGAAATGAAATGACGTGACGATCGATAGAAAGATTTAGGGATCCATAGGCAGGTAGTCCTTGATTTACAAGAGTTCGTTCAGCGACTGTTCAAAGTTACAATGGCGCTGGAAAAAGTGAGATGACCGTTTTTTCACACTTACGACCTTTGCAGCATCGTGATCCAAATTCGGACACTTGGCAGCTGACTCATATTTATGACAGCTACACTGTCCCAGGATCATGGGATGCCACCTTCCAGGATAGATTTGATTTAAATCAAGTTGATTTAAAAGAGCCTTGGTGGCGCAGCAGTCTAAAGTGCTGTTAAATAGCACCAGCTGCCTGCAATTACCGCAAGTTCGAATCTCACCAGGCTGAAGGTTGACTCAGCCTTCCATCCTTCCGAGGTAGGTAAAATGAGGAGCCGGATTGTGGGGGCAATAAGCTGACTTTGTATAAAAAAAAAAGAACATCGCTTAGGGGGGATCGAAAGCCCTACTAAGCAGGTATATACAAAAGTATGAAGGCTATTGCTTAACGCATTGTAATCCACCCTGAGTCTCTGGAGAAGGGCGGCATATAAATCGAACCAATAAATAAATAAATAAATTTAAATCACGATATAAATCACGATTTAAATCACTAGTAAAAAGGCTTGATTTAAATCAACTCGATTTAAATCATAATTTTTAAAGAGCAGCTGTCATCTCTGTCCTGCAGTGACTCACCGACAATCCCAATATTGCAGAATATACACAGCGTCATCCTACATAACTAAGCTCCATTTCATGCTGAATAAATGAAATTATTAATGTATCTTAAATAGAAAACAATCTTTATTTTTAGTCCAAAAGCATTTTATTAAAATAAACTTAATAAAAATAAAAAAATCCGATTTAAATTTTAAAAAATCTGATTTTTTTTCATTTTTTAAAAAAATCATCAACTTTTATCCACCCTGTGTGACCTTCATGCCTTGTCCCTGGTCATTACACAAGGATTACCTGTAAAAGCATCTGGTTTTGCATCCATGATTCTTCCCTGTCTTTGTCTCCTTCTCTTCCTTTCCTCCTTCTTCCTTCCTTCGGGGCCTTCTATGCTTCTAACCTGCCCCATGAAGGCAATTAAGACGACATGTTCTTGGCTGCTTCTCCAGGCACCGCTTATTTTCCAGATATAATTATAGGCTGGACCTGACTTGCTCATTCTCAAGTTGTCTCATTGTTGTCACATGTCGAAAGTGCACGAATGTGTGCACCATAGCGCATGTGTGCGCCTCTGCACAAATAATGCAATGCGTGCGCGACCCTCCCGCTGCACACTCTGCCCCCCTCTGCGTATGTATGTACGCCCCACCCATGCTTCCCACACACCACGTTTTGGGCCCAGTAGGCCTCCCTGGGAGCAAAAAATCGGCCGCGGGGGGCCATGCCGCGCCTTATTTGGGGCCTAGTAGGCCTCCCTGCAGCCTCCTGGGAGCAAAAACGGGCCGCGGGGGGCCATGCTGCGCCCTATTTTGGGCCTAGTAGGCCTCCCTGCAGCCTCCTGGGAGCAAAAAATGGGCTGCGGGGGGCCATGCCGCGCCTTATTTGGGGCCTAGTAGGCCTCCCTGCAGCCTCCTGGGAGCAAAAACGGGCCGCGGGGGGCAATGCTGCGCCCTATTTTGGGCCTAGTAGGCCTCCCTGCAGCCTCCTGGGAGCAAAAAATGGGCTGCGGGGGGCCATGCCGCGCCTTATTTGGGGCCTAGTAGGCCTCCCTGCAGCCTCCTGGGAGCAAAAACGGGCCGCGACGCGCCCTATTTCGGGCCTAGTAGGCTCCCTGCAGCCTCCTGGGAGCAAAAACGGGCCGCGGGGGGCCATGCCACGCCCTATTTTGGGGCTAGTAGACCTCCCTGCACTTATAACCCATAATGCAATACATGCGCGCCCCCGTATGCCCCCTGCTCCCTTGCATGTGAGTGTGATTCCCCTGCGCATGCATGCACATCTCCCACATGTGCCGTGACCCCTGCGCATGTGCGGCAGAGACCTGAAAATCAGCTGGCTGGCAGGAAGTGCACGCACATGCGGTAGAGCTGAGCTCGGGCAACGGCTCACATGCCCGCAGAGAGGACTCTCCGTGCCACCTGTGGCACACGGGCCATAGCTTCACCATCACTTGTGCAAGGTCTCCTGCTTGGACAAGGGGTTGGACTAGATGACCTACAAGGTCCCTTCCAACTCTGTTAATCTGTTCTGCTCTGTTTTTTTATACAGGTGATCTATGGAGTTACGACTTCTACAGCGGGGAGTTTGTGGTTTCTCCAGAACCGGACACGAGTGTACACACACTAGATCCTCAGAAGCATAAATATATAATTTTGGGGAGTGATGGACTGTGGAACATGATCCCACCCCAAGAGGCTATCTCCATGTGCCAGGACCACGAAGAGAAAAAATATTTTATGGTGAGCTGTCAAGGACTTCCGTTTTTCTTTGCTGATCCGCATGATTGAAACCTTAACTTCTGCATGCATGTTGCGTAAAAAAGATGATGGGCTTTGATCATTCTTAGCCAGCAGCTTGATTGTTTTTGATACTCCTGTTCACTTAACGTTCCCTATCATCATTTTGTTGTGCTTTGACAAACACGGTAAATCTTAGCAACTTTAGCAAGCCCATCAACATGCTGGCTGGGGAAGTCCACCCATCTTAAAACATGCTGGCTGGGGGATTCTGGGAGTGGAAGTCCACCCATCTTAAAACATGCTGGCTGGGGGATTCTGGGAGTGGAAGCCCACCCCTCTTAAAGCAAGCTGGCTGAGGAATTCTGGGAGTGGAAGTCCACCCATCTTAAAACATGCTGGCTGGGGGATTCTGGGAGTGGAAGTCCACCCATCTTAAAACATGCTGGCTGGGGGATTCTGGGAGTGGAAGTCCACCCATCTTAAAACATGCTGGCTGGGGGATTCTGGGAGTGGAAGTCCACCCATCTTAAAACATGCTGGCTGGGAGATTCTGGGAATGGAAGTCCACCCATCTTAAAGCCTGCTGGCTGAGGAATTCTGGGAGTGGAAGTCCACCCCTCTTAAAGCATGCTGGCTGAGGAATTCTGGGAGTGGAAGTCCACCCCTCTTAAAGCAAGCTGGCTGAGGAATTCTGGGAGTGGAAGTCCACCCATCTTAAAACATGCTGGCTGGGGGATTCTGGGAGTGGAAGTCCACCCATCTTAAAACATGCTGGCTGGGAGATTCTGGGAATGGAAGTCCACCCCTCTTAAAGCATGCTGGCTGAGGAATTCTGGGAGTGGAAGTCCACCCCTCTTAAAACATGCTGGCTGGGGGATTCTGGGAGTGGAAGTCCACCCATCTTAAAACATGCTGGCTGAGGAATTCTGGGAGTGGAAGTCCACCCCTCTTAAAGCAAGCTGGCTGAGGAATTCTGGGAGTGGAAGTCCACCCATCTTAAAACATGCTGGCTGGGGGATTCTGGGAGTGGAAGTCCACCCATCTTAAAACATGCTGGCTGGGAGATTCTGGGAATGGAAGTCCACCCATCTTAAAGCCTGCTGGCTGAGGAATTCTGGGAGTGGAAGTCCACCCCTCTTAAAGCAAGCTGGCTGAGGAATTCTGGGAGTGGAAGTCCACCCCTCTTAAAACATGCTGGCTGGGGGATTCTGGGAGTGGAAGTCCACCCATCTTAAAGCCTGCTGGCTGAGGAATTCTGGGAGTGGAAGTCCACCCCTCTTAAAGCAAGCTGGCTGAGGAATTCTGGGAGTGGAAGTCCACCCCTCTTAAAACATGCTGGCTGGGGGATTCTGGGAGTGGAAGTCCACCCATCTTAAAACATGCTGGCTGGGGGATTCTGGGAGTGGAAGTCCACCCATCTTAAAACATGCTGGCTGGGAGATTCTGGGAATGGAAGCCCACCCCTCTTAAAGCAGGCTGGCTGGGGGATTCTGGGAGTGGAAGCCAACCCATCTTAAAGCAAGCTGCCTGAGGAATTCTGGGAATGGAAGCCCACCCCTCTTAAAGCAGGCTGGCTGGGGAATTCTGGGAATGGAAGCCCACCCCTCTTAAAGCAGGCTGGCTGGGAAATTCTGGGAGTGGAAGCCCACCCCTCTTAAAGCATTGTCTAAATGTTGCAGTGTAGATCTTTTCCAGTTTTCAGTGGCAGCACTGAGATTTTAAACAGACTTTGTGTTCCTGCCATACCTATCGCAGCCTTTCGGAATAGTGACTTGCCTGTTTTCTTCTTCTCTTCCCCGTGTCTGACCCCAAAGGGAGAACATCAACAGTCCTTGGCCAAAATGCTGGTTAACCGAGCGCTGGCCCGGTGGAGGCAGCGTATGCTTCGTGCCGATAACACCAGCGCCATCGTCATCAGTATATGTTCCGGCCGAAAATCTCGGAGCGGCTGTCTGCAAAGCGAGGAGGATCTGTGCTTCAACTTGGCCGAAGGACCTTCGTACAGCAGCCCCGAAACGTGGACGATCGCCCCTTCGCAATGCTCCACTCCGTCATCCAAGGTAAAACGTGATTTTTTTTTTCTTTTAAAGGCTGAAGGGCTGAGAGCTTTTAAGATAATGTTAAAAATGGGCATTTCCCCCCTCAGGTTTTATGGTTTTAAGTGCGTTTTGAAAGGAAAAAAAATTCTCCAGTTCTATGTACAGCTTCTCTTCTTGTGCCATATCGGTCATCGGACGTTGGCGATAATGTTGGCGGTCCTATTTTTATTAACAGCCACACGAAAAAGTGCTGCTGAGTTGTGTCCAAACCGGTCCCTTAGATTTTGAAGCCATGATGTTCTCCTTCTGCCTGGACCTCGTTTGCCTTCAATCTTTCCCTGGAGGATTAAGTGAAATATGCTGTATTTTTCCGGGTGTCGCATCACATATCTGAAATAGTCTTTGCTTTTTGATGGTTTTGATGATTTCGCTTGGCTTTCCCAGGCGACTTATCACCTCCTCTTTTCTGATTTTCTCAACCCAACTTATACATAACAGCCGCCTGTAAATCCACATTTCAAATGCTTCTAGCCTCTTCAAGTGGCTTTCTGTCAGAGACCAACTCTCTACTCCAGGGGTGTAAAATTCAAGGCCTGCGGGGGGCTTAAATCCAGGCCACGGGGCCGGCCTGGAAATATCAAAGGACTGGCCCGCGGTGCCGGCTGAAATGGGCTGCGTTGGGGGGGGGCGCGCCCCGATTTGGCTGGCAGGGTACTGCAGGAGGCGTCCGTCCCGTGTCTCCCCCCTCCCCCCCATCTTGGCCCGCGAAGGAAAACTACGGTGCTGATCCAGCCCTCGAAGAAATCCAGTTTGACACCCGGGCTCTACTCCATGGAGCAAGATAGAAAAGATGTAACATCTGACGAGCCTGATTTTCAATCGTACAGCTATACTAAGAAGGATTATAAGTAGTTCTTGATGTACAAGCCCAATGGGGACCTGTTGCTAAGCGAGGCAGTTGTTAAGTGAGTGGCGCCAGATTTGGGGGGGGGGCACGGACGTTAAGCGAAGCCTTTGCAGTTGTTAAGTGAATGGTGCGGGGGTTAAGCGAATCCGGCTTTGCGTGTCAGAAGGCGGCTTGGGAAGGATGCAGGTGTGGATCACGTGATCCCGGGAAGCTGCGACCTTTGTAAATATGTCCTGGTTGCCAACTGTTCTTAATTTGGATCACGTGACTGTGGGGATGCTGCGACGGTTACAAGTGCGAGGACGGGTTGCACGTCACTTTTTTAAAGGGCCGTTGTAAGTTTGAATGCTAAACGAATGGCTTAAGTGGAGGAACTGGGTATGTCTGGTTTAATGGAAGAGAAGGACTAGGGGAGACATGATAGCAGAGATCCAATATCTCAGGGGCTGCCCCAAAGAAGAGGGAGTCAAGCTATTCTCCAAAGCACCTGAAGGCAGGACAAGAAGCAACTAGGGGTGAAATGCTCCCGGTTCAGACCGGATCACCCGATCCGGTAGCGATGGTGGCAGGTGGTTCGGAGAACGGGTAGCAAAAATCCCTGCCCGCCCCCCCATGCCCAGCTGAGCCGCGCGATCATCAGAGGCTTTTTTTCCTTTTAAAAGCAAAAAAAAAAAAATTGCTTTTAAAAGAAAACAAAAGCCTCTGACGATCAGGCAACTCAGCTGGGATCGTCAGAGCCTTTTAAAAGCATTTTTAAAGTAAAAAAAAAAAAAGGTTGGCCACGCCCATCCAGTCACATTACCCACCCACTCCCACCAAGCCACGCCCACAGAACCGGTAGTAACAAATTTTACATTTCACCACTGGAAGCAACGGGTGGAAACTAATCAAGGAGAGAAGCAACCTGGAACTAAGGAGAAATTTCCCGACAGTGAAAACAATTAATCAGTGGAATAATGACATTTAAATCCAGAAATTGTGAATGTTCTGACACTGGAGGTTTTTAAGAAGAGATTGGACAGCCATTTGTCTGAAATGATAAAAGGGCCGTGATGGCGAACCTATGGCACGCATGCCGTCGCCCCAGTTCAGCTCCGCCGTGCAGGTGTGCACGCCTTCAGCCTGCCAGCTGTTCATCAGGTCACTGCCGTGCATGCACGGGGGGGGGGCAGGGTGCGTGTGCAGGGGCCACACGTGCATTGCATTTTGGGGGTTTGGGCGCATACGCGCTTTGGTCACTCGGTCCGGAAAGGGTTTGCCATCACGGATATAGGGTCTCCTGCCTGAGCAGAGGGTTGGACTAGATGACCTCCAAGGTCCCTTCCAACTCTGTTATTCTATCTATGCTGCTTGGGGGCCCAGCTGAGGGGGAGGGGAGAGGGGTTGGCAACCCCTGCCGTAAAGGGTTTTAAAGGTAAGAAGAACCAGTACCTTGAATTGGGCACGGAAGCAGAGTGCCAATCACTGCAGTTTGCATCACAGTGGTGTGACATGGGCCACCCTCGGGGACTCGAGGCTGCAATTCTGAGCCAGCTGTAGTTTCTGAATACTCTTCAAGGGCAGCCCCACATAGAGTGCATTGCAGTAGTCCAAGCGAGAGATGACCAGGGCTTGCCAAGTGCTGGAATTTTGATCATGGGACCGTCCGGATGCTGTAACCGTTGTAACTGCGAGGATTGTGTCAGTCCCTGTTTTCGGTGGTGGTGTAGCTTTCGACGGTCCCTAAATGAATTGTTGTAAGTTGAGCACTATTTGTAGAGGGAGTGCTAACTTGTGCCAGAGAAGTCCCAATGCAAGGACAAAAATCAGTTGTGTAGTGCCTCCTAGTGGTGAGAAACGAATACAACAACTTACAATATTTGTTTTTATCTTGTGTAAGATTAGTGTCCTGTTTACAATTTGGCTTAATAACGTAAGTTTATCTTCGAGGGAGGTTACTACAAGGCTTGCAAAGGGGATGAGGCAGTGGCCCCTAAACTTTGGGGCACCAGGGACTGGTTCCATGGAGAGAGGTTTTTCCCTGGGTGTTATGTGGACCCCTGGCCTAACATATACTATGTTTCCCCGAAAATAAGATGGGTTCTTATATTAATTTTTGCTCCAAAAAGCTCATTAGGGTTTATTATCCAGTTGGGTCTTATTTTCGGGGACACACGGTAGGTAGTCCTTGACTTATGACTGGTCACTGTTCTACGTTACAACAAATCTCTCCAGAATTACAGGTAGTCTTTGAGTTACGACCACAGTAGAGCCCCAAATTTATGTTGTGTGTTGTTTAATTTAATTTAATTTAATTTATCGCATTTCTATGCCACCCAACTCCCAAGGGACTCTTGTTTCACACTTATGACCATTGCAGCATCCCCTTGGTCACATGATCAAAATTCAGACAGTTGGCAACTGACTCATATTTATGATGGTTGCAGTGTCTCTGGGGTGTGTGTGTGTCATTTGATCACCTTTTCTGACTTTCTGACAAGCAAAATCAATGGGCAAGCCAGATTCACTTAACCAACCTTGTTACTAACTTAACAAACTGCAGTGGTTCGCTTAACAGCTGTGGCAAGAAAGGTCGTAAGATGAGGCAAAAGTCACCCAACAAATGTCTCACTTAACAACAGGAATTTGGGGTTCAATAGTAGACGTCCAGTCGAGGACTACCTGTATAAAATGAGGCAAAACCCACTTAAGAATTGTCTCATCGCTTAGCAACAGAAACCTTGTGGTCGTAAGTTGAGGACTACCCGTAAAGGGAATTTGAGCTCTTGGAAAGTGCCAGGGTGGCATTGCCATGCGGTAGGTATCCTCTTAGTAACTCGGTGCCCTCTGTCTTGCAGAAAACCTGTCTGGGTAGACGGAGAGGCAAAGGGGTGCCAAGCCGGGGCAGCAGGAGGAGGTGGGCGCTCGGATCAGTCAGAGTAATGACCCGGGGGCAAAAGAGATGATTTTGACAAAGAAAGAGGCGAATAAATGGAATAGATCCTCAGTTGGAGTCCCATTCTGTGAGTTTCTTTTGGGTGGGAGGTCTGGATTTTTCAAAAGGCAACTGGACTTCATTTTTGCTTGAAGATATTTCTCTTCTGATCCAAGAGTTGTGGCCAGTCGGCCGTTGGCCCCCTCCCCAGCAGCCGAATCAGAGGAGGAGGGGTGGGAGTCAGGACCAGTATCAAGGCAACCTGAGAGCTCTGAGGGGAAAGAGGGAAGGGAGCTGGCAGAGAGAGAGAGCCTGGGCCGTCCGTCAGCCCTCAGATGGAGAGTCAACAGCCCTCAGGTCCGGAGGTGGCTGCTGATGAGGAGGAGGAATAACTGGGTCCAGTGCCTGACACATGGATGCACAGAAGGCAGAGGAGAGGAGAGCAGTGGAAATCTATGGGCCGGTCCTTGGGATGGAAGAGCCACCGCTACTAGCGAAGCCCCACCCTAACTCTGGGGATAAAAGGCAGGAGGCGGAGATGAATAGATGTGGCAGACTATATTCATCTTCCGGCCGGAGGGACTTGTTAGCCTGCGGTGAGAGAGAAACTTTTTCCTGGGGCTGCTGGCGCTCCTCGTAAAGGAATCTTTTGAGTTCACTTTAGAGGGTTTGTCGTGTTTGGGGAGCCGGATCGGAACACCAAGAAGCTTCATCAGTTGTGATGGTGGGGTGGCGGGGGGAGTATGGAAAGATAGGTACGGTACTGATAGGTGCAACACACCATGCATACAGGTAGTCCTCGACTTATAATAGTTCATTTAGTGGCTTTTCAAAATTACAACAGCACTGAAAACAGTGACTTATGACTGTTTTTCACACTTATGACCATCGCAGCATCCCCCCAGTCACTGGAACAAAATTCAGACCCTTGGCAACCAACATATCTTTATGACAATTGCAATGTTCCCAAGTTATGTGATTCCCTTTTTACGACCTTTTGACAAGCAAAGCCAAGGGGGAAGCCAAATTTGGTTAACAATCATGTTACTAATGTAACAACTGCAGTGATTCGCTTAACAACCATAGCAAGAAGGGTCATAAAATGGAGCAAAGCTCACTTAACAAATATCTCACTTAACAACAGAAATTTTGGGCTCAATTGTCATAAGTCAAGGACTGCCTGTACACACTTTAAACCCA